GGGAGCTGCTCCTTGTGGGTGGCTGGAGTGGGAGACGATGGATGCACGTGTGCTGACTTGGGAAATGTTCCTGAAGCGTCTATGGAGGCTCAGCAGTCCCCAGACTGGGATTCCCACAGAGAAGCCTCCTGGGTTGGATATGACAAGGAAGCTTGGTGGCTATCCTCCCATAATGTCTGGCACAGACAAGAATAAAATCTTGATCACCGTGTGCCAGATCAGGAGGCCAGTGGAGCGGGGTATGGGTCCTGGTGACAATATACACGGAATCCATTTGCTCCCCACAGACCTCAGGCCTCCTGAACTAAACTGTTTCTCACCTGGCTGTTTGGCCCCAGGCAAGTTCCTTTACCTCTCTGAGCCTCCATTTCCTCACCTACTTTAGTAGATCATATTAAGTGTGACTCAGTGACATCATGTCCCAAGTGCTGTGTCTGTATTCAGTCTTTCAAGCAACCCTGTGACAGATACTGTCATTCTGACTTAGATCTGAGAAACAGTGGCCCAAAATGGTTAGGTCACCTAAGGTCATGAGACTTTGTAAGTCATGGAACCAGGATTTGACCCAAATATTAAGGCTCCTGAATCCTTGAGCCTGATCACTATTCAGTCATATAGAACATCACACACAATCTCAGGGTTTCTACTCCCAAAGTCTACTTCCACCTTCCATGGTCCACCCAGAAACCCTCTGCTTGAGCCTCACCTGTTACTTCATGCTAGGATGGGAGAGGGAAGATCAAGCCTAGTGCATTCACACGATACTTTATCTGCCCTTCAGAGCCCACTGGGTAGATGGGAAAACTGAGGGACATATCCAGGCCCATAGCAGTCTGGTGGTAGATAGGACTCTTCCTCTCCAGGGCTTTTCTCCCTGATGGGTGCCATTTGTCTCTACACCTCTAGTAAGAAGTGGGGTCCCCAGAGCTACAACTCCCAGTTAGTAGATTTGATGAGGAAGTGTATGCACTGGATAGATGGTATGTGGATGGATGGATGGATGGATGCCTGGATGGATGGATGGAAGGATGTATGGGTGGGTAAATAAATGGCTAACTGGCTGGGCAGGTAGATAGATGAAGGGATGGATGGATGGATAGCTGGGGAGATGAATCAGTGGATGAGTAAATGCATGGATGGATTATAGATGCATAAACAAATGGTTGGCTGGCTGGTTGAATGGGTAGATGGGTAGGTAGACGGATAAATGGATGGATGTGTGGCTATGTATGTGGATAAATAAGTGGCTGGCTGGATGGATGGGTAGACGGATGACTAGGGAGATGAGTAGATGGATGG